TCGCCATGTTGAAGTGTGTCTCAAAGCAGCAAGGGCTAAGGGGGAGTGGTCGATTATGCCCTCCTTTAGCGAGTCAGCAACGATGGTGGCTCGCGCGATTCCACTACCACTTCCATATCCCACAATTCCTAGGAATTGGATTCTAACAGCACTGTGAAATACATATAGAAAGTCTATGTTACATGTTATAATTCATCGCTGCAGAAAAAAAAATTAGGAAAGCAGTTATTTATAGCTGGTCAGTACAGATAGATTTTATCGTGATCCGATTACGAGAGATTTTCTGTACTTTTCAAACTAGAAACCACGCGAAGAAACATTCGTACGCAAACTCGATCAACGTCACACCAGCAATAACAATTTATGTGTCATATTTGCCTTTTTTTCCTCTACTGATCTGGATCTGGTATTTGGTACAGAAGTAATGCGTAATGTTTTATGCGTGTAAACTAATTAAGTTTACACACATGGTAGAAATTGTACAATCGTCAATATGACACATGTACATACTTAAAATTGCTCAGTGCAATAAGACGACGTAGCCGTCGTCTTCTCGCATTAGATAAACTTTGTGCTTTTTTAAAATAACTGATATGTCATTAAAGAAAATACAATACAGCTTCTTGATGGATCCATTTCGTCAAATCACTACGTAATGCATTTCCTCTTTCCGGTAAAGAAGACTGTAAAAAGGCGCTGCGAGGGCAAGTCTGTCTCAAATCTTTCTTGTGACAGTTTCCTTCAATTTAAATGCATAGGGCGTGTTGTGAGGGTGACTCAGCGGGAGTGTGACTCGAAATGAAGGCGGAGTGTCGAGGGTATAGTTTGGGATTGGGCCTAAGTCTTGCTCTGACTGCAGCTGGGCGGGGCTGATGCGTGAGGACTGTCCGCCTGTGAATGCTTTGGGACGGGAGGGGAGCCCACGGTAGCACCCGCTGTTCGGTGTGGAGAGTGCTTCCACGTCAGAGTCTCCAATAACACTAGAAAAAGTCGCTAGTCGCTTTTTTGAAAACGAGTCGCCAGAGAGGTCTAAAAACTCGCTAAAGTTGGCAACACTGTCTGTAGATAGTAAAGCCTTGTTGATGAGAGAGGGTACGGTGGCCGAGAAAGCCCAAAGAAATTCAAAATTAAGAAACGTACGTCTAATACAAAAACGCGCTGCAAAGCAACAAAGCATATTATTCAAGTTCATATCGAACCTGCGAACACACTGCAAATTCATAGACTTTACACAAATTATGAACACTTTCAGAAAAATGACAACACATGCGAACCACATTTTACACACGCGTTGCACATTCGCAGACGCGCCGCAAATACAGAAAACAACCGCAATTAACTTCGGAAACGCGCTCCAAATAGCAACAACACAACGGAAATGTTTCCGGAGGACATTTTGTCCGGGTGGTCACATATTTGTAATAATGTTTTTAACGTAAACGTTAAAACTTTGCTATTAATCTGGCAAACTGCATGGTTTTAAGTTACAGTAAACAATCAGTGGCAGCTGTTTTTATGATTAACCTGTGTAGTTCTCTGAACAATTATAGGCTATAGTACAGCAGTTGTCTGTCACAATTAATAATCCTACCATTTACCACACAGCTTCTTGATTATTGTTATAGCGATCTGTTGAAATATAAGATACAGTGGAAACTGCTTACAGTGATCACGTCTGTCTGGGGGAAATTGACTATAAGCTTATGATCATTATAACCAATTTTTTTCTTCCTTATGTCTCAGGCAGATTACCATCTGACTGACATGTATATTTCTTACATAAATATAAGGTAATAAAACGGAAGGCGTCACTATTTACTTAATTTTGATTTCAAAATACACTATAACCGTCTCAAACGCTTTTGAAATTACAGTACTGTACAAATTACTCAACTGAGTATAATTCAAATACGTTATAATACAGTACAGTACTGTACATGAAAAATAGCATATTGTAGTTTCGCGGCTGCATCTCCGTGGCTCGTTTTTAGCAGTTTATCATAAGCTTTGACAAGTTCATATATTTGTCATTGAGAGAAAATGACTTTCTTTTTCCGTCATGTTTTATGTGCACGCAGCATATTAGCCTCAGGTAGCAGGCTACCTGGACTACAGCAAGGCAAAGTAGGGCCATCAAAGTAAAGTTAAAAAACATAGTTTTATTTTTTTCCATATCTTGTCATGCTTAAATAGGCACTGTAAGCAGACTACTTGACTACTAAAAACGAATTATTTAAACAGTATTTGTACAAAAATGATTTTATCCCAAGCTTTTTGATACATATACATTTACTTTTCACCAGTAAATTATCGTCATTGGCTCCATTGAAAAGTACGCCCGGAAAAAGTGCTCTCCGGAAACACTTCCGTTGTGTTGTGCTTAATTCCAGCGCGTTTCCGAAGTTGTGGTTGCTTTCCGTATTTGCGGCGCGTCTATGAATGGTCAGTGCGTGTGTAAAATGTGGTTCGCCTGTGTTGTCATTTTGATGAAAGTGTTTTCTGAGTTTGTGTAGCACTTATGCATTTGCAGTGTGTTTGCAAATGCGTTATGTACGGTGGCCGAGAGAGCTCAACGCGCTGCAACTCCAAGAAAACACATGCAAACATAAAAAAAACCACAACAAATTAAGAAAACGTCTCCATCAGTTTGACAACACAGGCGCTGCAAATACGGAAACGCGCTGCAAACACAAAAAAAGCGATGCAAACACAAAAAAAGCGATGCAAACACAAAAAAAGCGCTGCAAACACAAAAAACGTGCTGCAAACACAAAAAACGTGCTGCAAACACAAAAAACGTGGTGCAAATACAAAAAACGCGGTGCAAATACAAAAAACGCGATGCAAACACAAAAAAC